GAACATTTTTATGAGGGACTAGAGCAGAAAGACAGAGAATGGTTGAAGGACCGACAACCTAACGATCTCAACGAAGCAGCAAGACTAGCTGACGAACACCGAGACGATCAGATACAGGAATTCAACAACTCCCGAACAGTGGCACGTACTGAACCGAGAGACAATCACCGAACCAGTCCATGAACGGAATTTCGTACACCTGTGCCAGCCGGACCTACCCGGACCACCCAGACATTACACCCAAGAACGCTCTCACCCCACCTGCTTCAAATGCAAACAGCCGGAGCACCTCATAGCCAGCTGCCACCTCAACAACAACTACCCCTCCCAGAATTACAACTCATTCCCCTCGGGAAATACCCAACCAGCTCGCACTTTCTGTGTGGAGAAGGAAAGTACTCTAGAAGAATATCTGGGACCTCTTCATGAAGCCAACCCCGTGTATGCCACGAAAGATAACCGACAGCACCAAAGGCAAGAGGTATTGCTAGAGGGCCGCCCCACTCAGGGGTTAAGGGACACCGGGGTCACTATCACTCTGGTACAAGGCTGAGTGGTTCCGGAACATATGCGCACTACAGACACCATAGCGGTCAGGGTGGCTGGAGGGGACATTTTCAAACTACCAACGGCCAAAGTACATTTGGATTGGGGTGCAGGAAAAGGGCTCGTGAGGGTGGGAATCATGGATAACTTGCCAGCTGAGGTTTTACTGGGAAACGATCTGGGCCCCATGACTTCACTTCAGCATATGCTCCTTCCTACAACTCGGAGGCAAATCCTGTAACTACTCTGTCCCAAGCAGGAAGGACTCAAGATCCTTCACCAGTGCGGGAGACTGAGGTAAAACTAACCCCGACTGTGACTGATTACCCTTCACCATTACCCTGGAATACACCAGCAGGCTTTGAGGCTGAGACTAAAACAGACCAGACATTGCAGAAGTATAGGGAGAGAGCCGATACAGGGACTGGGGGGTCAGACCCTGAGACATTTGCATGGGAACAGGGCAGATTGTACCGGCACACCGAGAAAAAGGGAAACCGTAGAAGACAGTTGGTCATTCCCCACAAGTATAGACGGGACATACTTTGGTTAGGTCACAACATCCCATTAGCTGGACACTTAGCGGTAACCCATACCCTCCACCGTATTACCCATGCCTTTTTCTGGCCAGGGGTACATGGAGATGTGAGGATGTACTGTAATACTTGCAAGGTCTGCCATAGGGTGGGCAAGAGAGGAGACCACAGCAAGGCACACCTCCTCAACATGCCCATTATAGAAGAACCCTTTAGCCGGGTAGCCATCGACTTGATGGGGCCACTCGCCACCCCCAGTCCAACCGTGAAGAGGTATATCCTCACCGTGGTGGACTATGCTACACGCTACCCAGAGGCAATGGCCCTATCCAACATCCAGGCAGACACCGTAGCTAATGCCTTAGTTCAGGTGTTCTCTCGGGTGGGATTCCCTCGGGAGATTCTTTCTGACAGAGGCACCCAGTTCATGGCTGAGCTAACGCAACAGCTATGGCATGTCTGCAAAATAAAATCCCTACTCAGCTCCCCATATCATCCACAGACTAATGGGCTGTGTGAGAGGTTCAATGGAACCCTCAAACAAATGTTGAAGACCTTCAACCTGGAAAATAAGGACTGGGAACGCTTGCCTGCCATATCTCCTGTTCGCTTACCTGGAGGTGCCCCAGGAAACAACCGGATTCTCTCCATTTGAACTGCTATACGAACGCAAGGTGCGGGGCCCCCTCAACCTTATCCGTGAGCACTGGGAGGGAGAGACGGAGACTGCCGGAGTCCCCACCGTACCTTACGTGCTGAAGCTTAGGGACCATATGGAGCAATTAGCCAGGTCGGTCCAGGCAAACCTCCAGGCGGCCCAGAGGCGACAAAAAGTTTAGTATGACAGGGGGACACGGCGGAGAAGTTTTTGTGTAGGAGAAAAGGTTATGGTTCTAAAACCTGTTAAAGCAGACAAGCTGCAAGCAGCCTGGCAGGGACCTTACCAGGTAGTGGAGAAACTCGGGGACACTACATACGTGATTGCTAGCTGCCACGATGAGAGCCTGCGAAAGATATTCCACGTCAATATACTTAAAGAATACCTAGAGAGACCAGAGGACGTGTCAGCTATATGCAGCCCCTCTTCCGAAGCCCTCGATAGCCTCCCTATCCCCAACCTGTTAGACCAGGATCCCCCGTCTGATTTAGTGAGCCAAGTGCAGATAGGGGACCGACTTAACCCAGAAGAGAGGGAGCAGCTACACAAACTGCTCCTAGAGAAACAGGCAATTTTCTCCCAGGAACCAGGGTACACAGACCTAGCCACTCACCAAGTGGACACTCCCGGGCAGCAGCCCTTAAGACAGGCTCCCTAACGGATCCCCGAGGCGGTCCGGGCAGGGATGAAAAAGGAGATAGACAAGATGCTCAAACTAGGGGTTATTGAATCCTCCGATAGTCCGTTGGCGTCCCCAGTGGTACTAGTACCCAAGAAAGATGGTACTACCAGATTCTGTGTGGACTATCGGAAGCTCAATGACAAAACCGTAACTGACGCCTACCCCATGCCCAGGGTAGATGAGCTGCTGGATCGCATAACCAGGGGAAACTACCTAACTACCATTGACCTCTGTCCAGGAAAGCTATCCCCAAGTCGGCATTCATCACCCCTGTTAAGGCACCTCCAGTGTCTTTAGGCAAAACCGCCGTTTAGTAGACCTTCCCCGTCTGCAGTAACAGTCTCTGTTCGCTTAATCTGTAGTATACGAACCAAATGCAGGGGAGGAGGCAATCTCGCGACCGAGATCCATGAACGGCTCCAAACTCCCGAACGGCAATACACGAACTGCTGCTAGCCGCCGAACAACAATATTCACCAAGCGGCTTCCGTTCCATCCAGCAGTCTCTAAACGTGAAGAAGAAATCCCCCCAATAATGAGACAGAAGCTCCGCATTGAGGGTCAAACAGGATCTGGCTTTACCGTGGGCTACCTGCCCGTATTTATGCAGGTCTCCCACTTGGTGGACACTCCCCTAGGGGACCAAATGGGAGACTTAAATGACAGACAGATATGGGGACATTCCAGACACACAGCCACAGATTTTACCCACAGTGCATTATGATTCCCTCCCCTCTGTCCTGGAGTTAATTACCAAGTAACTCAATTAACCCCAGGACAAAGCCAGCCGCCATCTTAAATATAAAATCACAAAAGACATAAAAATATATAACTTCACAAAAACCGAGCATTTCCCATTTGTATCACATATCCCCAGATAGCCTGGATCTGAGTGCATATTATTAGCGAATAGCGCTCAGATCCCACACACATAGTTCAATCGCCATGGAGTCAAAGTTCTTACAGTCTTTCGGTATACGAATGACTCCATGGGAAGGCTATCTGGGTTAAGTCTTTTCGTATGCTCCAAATCTCTCAAACGGCCGGTGTTCGTATGCTTTCGTGGAGGCAGCCAGGCGTTCCGTTGTTTCAGCGTTGTTCGGCAGAAAAAGTGTCCGTTTTTAGTTCCATAGAAATAGAGCCAAACACCGCTGGGCTTTCGCTTGGTTTAAAATGGCCACTGTCTCGTGGTCGACATACGAACGACGACCACCCTGAATTCGGTTTAATTGAGACGTGTCTGCGGTTAACCACAACGTTCTAATTGGGATCAATAGGTTAAACAGCAGCACACTTCTCTCCTGGGTGGCCGTCCGTTCGGCAGGTTTGTTCAGGAAAAAGAGTCATTCGAATGGCTGGGCTATAGAAACCAGCCATTCATACGAACGGGAGACAAACAGACGAATGCAATTCAAATACAAGCAGACAGATGGTTCTGTCACAACCCCGTTCGGATTATACCATTTTAAGGTTATGCCATTCGGGATGAAGACTGCCCCCGCCACATTCCAGCGCTTGGTGGACAGACTCCTTGATGGCTTCCAGGTTTCGCCTGTGCCTACCTGGATGACATAGCGATCCATAGTGAGTCCTGGGAGGAACACTTAGCTCATGTAGGAATGGTCCTGGATCAGATTCGGGCCGCGGGCCTGACTCTGAAACCAGAGAAATGCCATTTAGGAATGGCTGAGGTACAGTACCTGGGTCACCGAGTGGGATGCGGGAAGCAGCGACCGGAGCCAGCTAAGATAGAGGTTGTCACGAACGCACCCTACTCCAAGAGTGGGCGTGACGTAGTTGTGGTGGTGAAAGGGTTAAAGTTTACTATTTGTCTGCACTAGACCGGAAATAATGACAAAATCCCCCTTTTAAAACCACCCACACGTAAACATAATATAACTATTACTATTTTAACGCTGCCACCACCAAGACAATTTATAAATGGGGTGCCTTGGTCCCCCCAGGTAAATCAATAATAAAACCCACCAAATATTACTTAGTACAATATTTAAGTTATTGCAAAAATACTAACTAGTCTCTTCAGGTAACGTGATTTTTAACCAGACAAAGGCAAAACTTAATAAATGAATGTTTATTATGAGCAAAAGATAGTCACAGTGCATATAACAATATATGATAAATAGTGATGTCGCGAACCCGAAATTTTCGGTTCGCGAACGGCGAACGCGAACTTCCGCAAGTGTTCGCGAACCGGCGAACCGCCCGAAACGCCATTGACTTCAATGGGGAGGCGAATTTTAAACCACACAGGGACTCTTTCTGGCCACAATAGGGATGGAAAAGTTGTTTCAAGGGGACTAACACCTGGACTGTGCCATGCCGGAGGGGGATCCATGGCAAAACTCCCATGGAAAATTACACAGTTGATACAGAGTCTGGTTTTAATCCATAAAGGGCAGAAATAACCTAACATTCCTAAATCACAATCAATATGGATTTGTTGTGGATAATTTACTGCAAACCAATTAGTTTGAATGACTATCTGTTCCTGTCCAAATGAAAGATAATAAAGTTGCGTGCACGCAGAAGTAAATTCACACTGAGACACAAAGTTCAGGTTAATGAAAGAACTCCGGAGAAGTTTAATGGCTTCTGACAGAAAATGGGTGTGCAGACCCTTTTAAAGGCATTATTACATCATTGAAGAAAATCAAGATATAGACAAATAGACATTGTTAATTGGCTTAGGTGCTAAGATGTTAGTAAAATGCCCTCCCCATTCTTAGGTCACTATCCATATCATTTCTCAACTCCTACAGGTTTTAGCGCCATTTTGCTAACATGAGGAGCTCACTCGACGGGAGGGGCCTTTTGGCAGCTATCCATTTAGAGCGTAGCTGGCACTTGTTAGTTTCTCAAGGTTAAGTTTCAAGGATTTTAGTAAATACACATTTTATCAAAGCTATTTCTTGCTGACATGCAAATTCTATGTTCTATAGACAAAGCTTTCTTGTAAAACTATGGGGCCTCTTAGAGGTATAGCAAGAGGATTTAAAGGGGCCTTACAGATTTATAGAGGCCTAATAATTCTACAACAGTCCCCCCTAAAATGTTATTTGCTAAAAGACAAAACTTTATTTGTTAGTATCAGAAGAAGTATTAGCCCAAAGACACAGAAACCCCATGACCGCTGACTTAGTGTTAATGCAAAGTGCAAGTCTATCCCTCTCTTGACCCTAACAGGCTGCAGCACATCCGTCAGTATGGTTCAGGAACACTCTTCACTCCGCTGGTAACCCATAGTGGCTTATCCACTACTTCTCCGTACGGCAGTCTACCCATAAAGACGGACGCTGTCCCTTCCTAGACTTTCTGCACTTCATCAGTATAAGGGAGAGTTTGTAGCGGAATACAGGGTGAGATGAGGTCTTGATCATCGATTGTCAGATGAGTGAAGGTTGGTGTTGCTTGGACTACAGTTTTCTGCAGGAATTTCCTTAGGCATGGGAGGACACAACAAATGAGAAGAGCGAGAATAAAAAGAAAAATTAGTAAGGCAATACCAATCTGGACTAAAGCTCTCTGCCAACCAGTCATCCAACCAAACCATTTTTCCAGGGATCAGTAACTCCAGAGTTTCTCTTTAACTCTTCTGAGAGTCTATTTAATTTAGCTATGGCCAGAGTGACTTTACCATTAGGACCTGTGTTTTCTGGAATGTAAGTGCAACAAGTCATAGTGTCGGGAAGTATTTTACAGACCCCCCTTTTTTCGGCTAAGATCATGTCTAAGGCCAGTCTGTTCTGGAAGGTCATTTGGGATGTGGCCTGTAATTGCTCGGCCAAGCCCTGGAGGGCATCCCTGGTGTAGTTCACGAAGCGCTGTTGGTTGTAATAGATATAATTAATCCAATTAAGGTTTTTGTTAGCAGTGACTATGGTAAAAAGTGATTCAAAACCTGCAGCTACTTCATCTCTAGCTTTAAATTCATTAGGTACCCCCCTAGGTACCCCAATGGCATCTATGTAAATGTGGGGGTCAAAACTGCCTTTTACTGGGGTTTCGCGCCTTACTCTGGCTGATGTATGTGGAGGGTCGTATGTGTCATGATTATCAGAAATAATATGAATGGGCATGATAACTTTGGCCAGGGTACACTCACCCCACCACTCAGTTTCCAGCCTAGATCTTAACTGTAGATCCCCACATAACCAGTAAATATCCCCCAATGACCTGGTATGGTGTTGCAACAGGCGTATAGGAACAGTTCTGTAAGTGGCTCAATAACCTTTAGAAAAATTACCCATGAATTTACCAATCCCGTCATACATGGCATAACAAGTGTAATTACCTCTATAGACTGTGATTCCATCTGGTGGCTTAACATTTTCAACTAAGAGAGGGTATTCTGCCGTCCATGCCATGCAGAGGGATCTGTTGAAATTATAGCGGTAGGCAAAAAGACTAAGGAAGCAATCTCTATCTCCAAAGGGAGAGTTAGAGGAACGGTGCCAAGATGAGGTCGAGGCACCGCACACATAGCATGCGGTTTTGTTATGTTTATTAGCATTATATTTCATCCACTCTAACCACAAATTAATGTCATTGAATCCAGTTTCAGCGGCCATGGTATCTTCAAAAGTGGGGTTAGCGATGGCCATCATATCTTTAAAGGACTGGATATGTGGTTTTAGCGGATTTGGGACCATATGATCAGCCCCTTGCCACTCTGGAGAGTGGTACATATCTCTGAGGTAGAAATGACCTAATTTGTTGTAGGAACCTTTCTTCCAATACATTCCCATTACATATCGGTCTGCATCCTCGGGGCCAGGATGTTCAATATTTAACATTAATTTCATAGGGGTACTTCCCCCAGTCATTCTTTGAAGGAGGGATCTACCCTGATTGTCTATCTTAGATAAAGCACTTTTGGGTTTATAACCCCAGGCAGGCCCAGTATTCCATCCCGCAGCCCCCCAGTAGTTACAGTCATAACCCCATTGTTCATCTACTACACAAACGTAAGGGTCTTTTGCTTGTGGTATATCTTTATAAATGGCTTGAATCTGTGACTTAGGGAATGGGCATTCTACAATATCACAGTAATCAAAAGTGAATGTAGCCACATGGGTACATGATGAATTATACCAGAAAGTGTACCCACTAGCATCTTTGGTGATGGCCACCTGCTGGGCTTTAAGGAGGCCAACTAAGGAGATAATGTACCAGAGGCACATGGTTGCATAGAGTTAGCTTCCTCTGGGGCAGGTGTCTTCTTGCAATGGGAAGCGTGGATCCAGTTAGGCCTTCCGGCCAATTTGACAGAGGTAGGGGAGATCAGGAGAACTTGGAACGGTCCGTCAAATCTTGGTTCCAGGGTGTGTTTTCGCACAAATTTCTTGACCAGAACCCAGTCACCGGGGAGCAGACTGTGGTTGCCTGTGTCAGAATCAGGATCTGGAATTGAAGAGAAAACTTGGGCATGGATTTTGTTCAAAGCATTGGCAAGTTCAGTTACATAGTTTACTAAAACATCAGTATGAAGTTGTAATTGCTGGGGAAAATAGCAACCTAGCCTGGGTGCTGACCCGAATAGAATCTCGTAAGGGGACAATGAGGGCTTCCCTCTGGGTGTATGTCTGACACTAAACAGGGCTATTGGCAAGCTTTCGGGCCAGGGCATTTTTGTTTCTTGCGACATTTTTAGCATTCTAGTTTTCAGGGTGCCATTCATACGCTCCACCTTACCACTGCTTTGTGGGTGATAAGGTGTGTGGAAGGCAAGGGTCACTCCTAGGGCGGCCCAAATCTCTTTGGTTACTGATGCTGTGAAAGCTGGGCCTTGGTCACTTTCAATGACTTCTGGTAATCCAAACCTACATACAATTTCTGTAAGTAGCCGTCTTGCTGTTGTTTTTGCGGTGATGTTAACCACTGGGTAGGCTTCTGGCCAGCCTGAGAACATGTCCACTATTACTAGTGCATATTCGAAGTTGCCACTCTTTGGCATCTGGATGTGGTCTATCTGAATTCTTTGAAACGGGTACATGGGCTTGGCCAAGTGTTTTGGAGGGACTTTAGCCATTTTCCCCGGATTGCACTTGGCGCAGATGACACACGTCTTGCAGTAATTGCTGGCTAGCGTGGTAATTCCAGGGGCCTCATAGTACTTCTGTACAAGGGCAATCATCAAATCTTTTGATAAGTGTGCAGGGCCATGTGCCCACTGAACAACTGCTGGGTATAGATTCTTAGGAAGGCAGAATCTGAGATTGTTGTAATACACTCCATCTCTTAGAACTGCCCCTTTCTGTTTCCACTTCTGTATTTCTTCAGGGGCAACTGTAGCCTGTTGTTCCCGCAGGATTTTCAGGTCAGTTGGAAGAGTCTGCAGAGTAAATATGGGAGTTTCTTCATTTCCGGACACTCTTCTTTCCACTTCCTGTGGTTCTCTTGCAGCTTGTTTTGCAGCCTGATCAGCTAGATGGTTGCCCTTTGCTTCATCTGAGTCCAACTTCCCATGTGCTTTTATCTTCAAAATAGCCACTTCTTCTGGGAGTAGGAGGGCGTCCATCAGCTCCTTGATTGCGGAACCGTGCTTGATTGGTGTACCGGCGGTGGTAAGAAATCCTCTTGTTTTCCAAATTAATCCGAAGTCGTGAGCCACGCCCAGTGCATATCTTGAATCCGTGTAGATATTGGCGCGCTTTCCTTCAGAGATCTTGCATGCTGAAGTCAGGGCTTGCAATTCAGCTTCTTGTGCAGACATAGTTGATGGTAAAGATGATGATTTGACAATTTCATCTGTTGTGGTTACGGCATATCCTGTATGGTATCTTCCTTCTTCATCAGCATATCTTGAGCCGTCCACAAACAGGGTGAGATCGGGATCTACCAATGGGTCTTCATGCACAGTTGGTAGATGTGTTGTTTCCATTTTCATCTGTTCAAAACAGTCATGAGGTGTATCTGGGTCGTAGTCATTCACTATGGTTAAATCTTGGAACTCATTCTCCAGGAAATGACGTGGCCATGCTTTTAGGTGGTCAGTTGTTGGATATTTGACAACACCATTTTCCTGTAGCTGTGATTCGTCCATAGTGGCCCATGCTTTTGCCATAGGCCCAAGATCATTCCATGATATTGTTTTCAACTTGGTCACAGGGACATGTGGAATGGCAGTGTCCCAATGACGGTACAAATGCTTGAGTTCCGGAGGTAGATGAATCAAGACCATACTGTTGCCTTCAGAATCACAGTAGAAGTCTTGTGCAGTGAGTTTTACTTCGACCAGATGATAGAGTTCATCTTCATAGCAGGGTTCAGGAGTGATGTTTGGTTTGTACCACATGGTACAGAAGGCATATCCTGCTCCGTCATGAAGGAGTGCTTGTCCATCATGAAAGGATAGGTTGGGATGCATTTCCTTCTTGATGGTGCCAGTGAGAAGAAAAACATAAGTTTCGTCCATGATGAATCCGTAGTATACACCCCCCTCAGGGAGTGGCAGAAGAGTGGACGGATTGAGAACTTGACATCTTTGAAGGGTAATGTTGTCAGGCAACAAAAGATGACATTGAAGGCGAAGATGCCTAGCAGGAGTAACATGCTTAAGTTGGACCTGGTTGACTATGGCAGAAATGTCATGAGGGGCCAAGACAACCAGGGGGTGGCCAAGGACAAGATCTCCAGTTCTTTCAATGAGCTCTTTGGCAGCAAAGACGGCCCGAAGGCAAGAGGGACGTCCTCTGGCCACAATATCCAGTTGGCAGGAGAAAAATCCAATAGGCCTTTGGCGGCCTCCAGGACCATGGGCCTGAGTGAGTACTCCTGTTGCATGGCCTTGTCTTTCAGAAACAAACAATTTGAAGGGTTTGGTATAGTCTGGTAGGCCAAGAGCAGGAGCAGAAGCAATAGCACGTTTGAGAGAACAGAAGTTGTCAAGGGCTTCTGTGGACAAGCAAAATGGGTCTGACTTGAGAGCATCATAAAGAGGTTGCATAAGGAGCGAGGCTTCTGGGATCCATGCTCGGCAATAGGAAATGAGGCCTAGGAAGGCGTGTAGTGACTTCGAGGTCCTTGGAGGTGGAATGTCCAGTACCGCTCTAACTCGGTCACGGGTAAGATGTCTGGTTCCCTGAGACAGACAATGGCCAAGGAAGATAACAGTAGGTTGGCAGAATTGCAGCTTGAGACGTGAAGCTTTACATCCTTGTTCTGCTAGGTAGCAAAGAAGATTAAGTGAGCATTGTTCTGTTGTGGGTATATCATCTCCACAAAGCAGCAAATCATCCACATATTGAAGCAGGACGACCTCAGGATGGTCAGATTGCCATGGATCAAGGATAGAGCACATGGCCTTCGCAAATTGACTTGGTGAATTTTGTGCCCCTTGGGGCATGACAGTCCATGTGTACTGTTGTTTTTCATGTGTGAAAGCAAACAGATATTGGCAAGTTGGATCCAGGGGAACACTGAAGAAGGCATTGGCCAGATCAATGACCGTGAAGTACTTGGCAGAGGGTGGAACGCCGGAAAGGAGAGTGTGTGGGTTGGGCACTATTGGAGTGTCCAAAACTGTGGCTTCATTTACCGCTCTGAGGTCTTGGACCAATCTGTACTTTTCTGGTTCGCCTTTTGGAGTCTTTTTCTTTACCGGAAATAATGGAGTATTGCATGGTGATTCACATTTGACAAGAGCACCCTTCTCCAGGAGTGCTTGAATCTGAATTGTAATGGCTGCAGCTTGAGCTGGTTTCAAAGGATACTGTGATTTTCATGGCAATTTCGCCCCTGGGATGAGCTGT